CTTTTGTCAACCTTTAATAAAATACTCTTAGGAATATGGGAGTGTGCCACCTAATAGTTAATCATACTCGAATATGCAGTTTTAATTAGGAGGATTCTTCCCGCCAGAGATAGCCATCTAGCGCCCCAAGAATTAAGCTTACTCATTGCTTTCTCAATGGTGCTATTATAATCTTCAGCTTTCAATCTTCTGAGAACCAGTTTAATACCCAAGTAGTGTAACTCTTTGACTTCCTTATATTCCAAAATTTTGTTTATCTTTCTTCTTCTATTTTTGGACACAACATTACCAAAAAGAACCATGGATTTCTGTGAATTGATTGCCTGACCCGTCCATCTGCAGTAACTTTTGAAAATTCTCTTCAAAATCTTTGCATTCCTACTGAACGCCTTTGCTATCACAAGAACGTCATCAGCATACAGTAAGTGAGTGATCTTCTCAGTATTCGAAGCCAGTTTCATGCCCAACTGTTCCTTATACTCATTAAAAGCTTTAGAGAGGAGATCTGAACATAAAATAAAAAGGCTTGGTGATAACGGACACCCCTACCTGAAACCACATTGAGCATTAATCCATTCGGTCCGTTTACCATTAATAACAATGGAGAATTTCGGGTTTGAAATACATTGAAGAATAAGCAGAATTAATTTATCAGGAAATCCAGTCAATTTCAAAACTTTTTCAAGAGTTTCCCAGCACATACAGTCGTATGCCTGTTCCATATCGATTTTAAGAAGAAAAAAACCTGGCTTAGCAACGGATGATCTCATCTTACCAACCATCTCTTGTGCAATAATGCAGTTGTCTGAAATGCTCCTCCCCTGTATAAAAGCTCCCTGGAACTTAGAGATGACATCCGGTAGGCAAATTTTAAATCTATTCAAAATCATACCAGCAACCATCTTGTAAATTGTTTGACATAGGCATATAGGTCTGAATTTAGAACACTCTTTGGCATTTTGAATTTTCGAGATTAACACCACCACCGTTTCCTTCCATTGTTCTAGCATCTCCCCTGTTTTGAAAAAGCTGTTCACGGCATTCCAAGTTTCCTGTTCTACAATGCTCCAATAATTTTTGAAAAAATGAGCATTAGCCCCATCAGCACCAGGAGATTTATTATTACCCATATTATTGAGTGTGAACTTCAATTCTTCCATAGTGAACTCAGCTTCTAAAATATTCCTCAAATTTTCCTGAATGCACTCAGAGCTTTTGAAAATCGGCCAGTTATTCAATTCACAGTTTCTTTTGTGCCATTTCTGTTTGAAAAAATTTTCCATGATACAATGGATTTCTTCCTGATTTGGAACCAACGAACCATCCTCTTTAGCAATTTGAAGAATCTGATTACTCTTCTTCTTGGCTGATGCGTAAGTATGAAAATAACTTGTGTTCTTCTCACCTTCCTCCATCCATTGACATTTAGACCTTTGTCTCCACCAGGTTGCGATTCTTGCCAGGTTAGCATTAAATTCTGCCACCATGCTTCTCAGTAGCAAAAGATCACCCTGACTCAAGCCTCCTTCCGCTGCTTCTCTGCTCTGAAACTCCAAAATATCCTGCTTTAGCACCTGGTTCCTCAAATTGAACTCCTTCAATTTGTTCTTACTCCAGTAAAAAGATTCTTAAGCGATCTTTTTATTTTTCTTTGAAGAACATCATTAGCAGTACCATAATCCTTCTTCCTCCAAGCCTTGTTGATAATACCTTTGCTGCATCATACGAGCACCATAAATTCTCAAATATGAATTCTTTTTTAAAATTCCTTGCTTTATCTTCGAGTTGTATGAGAACAGGACAATGGTCCGAAGATATCCTTTGAAGATGCTTGATAACTGCATTAGGAAATTCCATGATTGCTTTGGAATTAAGCCACATTCTATCTAACCTTTCCCATATTCAAGCAAGTCCATCTTTGTTGTTGCACCAAGTATAATTGGGTCCGACGAAACCGATATCATGGTAGTCATTGTTGATCATAAACTCCTTCATTTCTTGTGGGCCTTGGGAGAAAACAAAACTTTTTCCCCCCAATTTCTCATTATTGTTAACAAGGCAATTGAAATCTCCACCAACTAAACATGGGATTTCACAATTTAAATGACTCTCAATCATTTCCCAAAGGTTCCTTCTATCATACAAGCTTTTGTTACCATAGACAATGCAAACATTAACAGTTTTGCATTTGGGTGTAGTCAGCTCACTGATAATACATTGTTTTGAAGTCACAGTAACTTTAAAAGATGCAGTTCTATGCTTCCAAAGAACATGAATGCCTCCAGATTTTCCAGCCACTGCAATATGGTGGAAATCCCACTCACTACCCACCATCCTTTTAACATCAATACAGCTCAAATTCTCCATTTTTGTTTCTAGTAAGCTAATGAAAAAAATACCATTTTCATTAATCATGTTTCTAAGGTAGTGGGAGGCTGCCTTCTTCTTGCCTCCCCTACAATTCCATACTAAAATTGAAGTCATTAAAAAAGTTTCGGGTTAAAGGCCCCAGCCTTTACATCTCCTCCCTCACCTCTTCTAGTTATATGCTTCCCTTTTATAGGTCCAAGCATTTTCATCTCTTTAGCAAGTTTGGTTTTACCACTAGACATCTTAATGGTTACTTGATAATTTTCCCCTGCTTATCCTGAATTTTATTACCCAAAACTTCTAATTTGTTTTCAACAAGAGATATTTCCTTCTATGTCAGAAAGTTAACATTTTCTTCTTCTTCAATTTCTCCCAAAGTTTCAAAAGGATTAGCAGTTTTCTTCACCTCCAGAACAGATCTGTTTTCCGTAATCCCTTCTGAAATTTCTTGAACACTGTCTTCCATATCAAACTTTTCCTTGTTTTCCAGATCAAATTTTCCTTTTTCAAATACCTCCACATTTTCCTCAATTATTTCACCTTCTTCAATAAGATGCTTAGCCAGAGAATGAATTGTATTACACAATTTAATACAATTCATTCTGGAGATTGTTTGCTTCTTTTATTTCTTCTTCCACATTTGTTTTCTTCGATTTGATATTCCAAGCTTGAACTTTCTGGGTCTTTTTCTCAACAGCTTCCCTATCCGTGGCTTTGTTGAAAGCTTCTTTAAATTTTCTCCTCTTATTGTTCACCAGCACCCCAGGACCGTAGTTGTCCCTTTTTTCCTCTGCATTTATCTGATGCGATTCCTGCATACTATCTTTAGAAGATACCTTGTTTTCTACAGCATTAACTTTCAAACACTCCTCCCTCATATGACCAATTTTTCCACATTCAAAGCAGAAATTCGAAATTCTTTCAAACTCAAATTTCTGAAAAAATCTCCCTCCCAAGCTTTCAACCCAAACTCCAGCCGGTAGCTTCTGTTCCAGCTTGATTCGGATGCAGATTCTGGCGAATTCCCTTCTGCCCCAACTGAACATGTTGCCACTAACATCATTGGTTTGCCAATTGCAGCTGCTATCCTTGCTATGTTTTTTTCATCCCAGCATTGTAGTGATAATTGCGGCATTCGCATCCAAATCGGAGAGGTAAGACCTTCCATAGATAACGGGGAGAACTCCGGTGTCCATTTCTCCATACCAATTATATGCTCCTTCACAAACCATGGTCCTCCCATTAGAACTCCTTCCAAGGCTTCAACTGTTTTGAAAGAGCACAGGAACCACCCTTTCCCAAGAGTCATGAAATGGAAATTGTCAAAACGAGCACACTGTCTTCTAAGTTCCCAAGAAACTTCTTGTGGCTTGATGTCTTTTCCAAAAACCTTGCAAACCAGTGATTTATCCAATAGGTTCACATTCTTTATTTCATCTTCTTTAATTAATTGAATCGCCTCACCATCTTCCATAAAATAGCTTCTTCTTCTCGGAAATTTAAATTGATGTATGGTTTTCTACTCCATACATTACCACTAATCAACTTTTCCATTTTCTTTTCAGCCAAATGATCAGCCATCTGGTTTACATTAACCTCCTTGACCTGTTCTGCATTCATCTCTGTTTGTATTACTTACTTGAAGCTTTTCGGCTTCCAAGATTTTTGTCAGATAACCGATGATTTTCAACAATCACACTACTATTCTGGTTAGCATTAGTTTTACCAAAACCCTGAACAAAAAATATTCATCCCGGAAGAAGACATTCCCCGATCAATGCCTACCTCATTAACATCAATTTTTCTTAGTTTTTCCGGAGTCTTCAAATCCGAAATCACCTCAATCGATTTGCCTTTCCCCTCAACATAATGAAACATTATGAGATACATTGCTAACCTCATCATTAATAACCAAGAAACCTTTCGCACGTCTTCTTCGCGCCTCCTCCGAATTCATAGCAGATCTTGATACAGATCTCCCTGCACTCGATTTCTTATTCTCTAACTCCTCAATAGGAACTGCACAATCATCATTCCGACTCATGTTATCCGTCGAAGAATGATGAACATCCGCCTCCATGCGTAACCGGTGAACCGATCACCGACAGCAACACCCACGAAAACCAGAATTCAAAACTTTCTCTCTCTACTTCTTGCAGCTTTAGAATGCCTATTTTCTTGAGAATTGGTTGTTATTACTGGAACATTTTTTGGAACTTCTTAGGTGTCTATTCTTAGTTATTTTTTCTTGCCTTTGAGTTGTCAATGTTACATCCATGAGAAAGTTTCAAAGGGCTTCATTGCCCTTCCTCATTATACTCTTTTTTGTTTAATAGAAGATAAAGATTGTATAGCCATAACATATATTCTTCACTTTAGCTATATGATATTGCTTCTAATGCCTCTAAATTTGACCAAGTGTTATTAGAAAATTAGGATGTATTGTCTATTTTGTATTCACACTTTATTATCATATAGTTCTACTTTTTGGGTTGAGGATATATTACCTAATCTAGAACTTTCAAGCTTTTGGTGTTTAATGTCAGTGATTCCTTTAGTTGTATTTCTACATGCTTTAGGATAATATTAATTACTAATTCTTCGACAACATCTTTCATATGGGATCACAGATGGGAGTTCTTAAACCCTTGGTTGGATGATCATCGACCACTTGATGATCTATAGCTGAAGCTCAATATTGTCTATTTTTTGAGTTTATTGGTGCAAGGTTATTTTTAATCTACGAGGTACAGGAATTTGTAATTTGGCATTATTAATGAAGGACAAACAACTTATATATGTGTTCACCTTTTCATTGTTATAGTGTTATTTATTTTTATCATTCAGAGTCATTTTTAGTCATTTTTTATATTTATATCATTCAAACTTGAAGTTATTTTTAAATTGTTTATGTTGTTTTGGTCATTTAATTACTTATGTTATTTTTTATTATGTTTGGTAAAATTTAGTCATTGTATTAAGGAGCTATATAAATAGCTAACTTAGGTCTGTATTAGTGATACTTTTTTTTTTGTTTTTTTATTAGGGATACTTTAATGATAAAGCTATTGCTAATTTGAAATATATATATAAACTTTTTGCTGATATATGTGATTAGGACATCAGCAGAAGATTCCAGTGCGTTTATCACATGAGACATCGCAGATTGATGGCCACGATTAGGAGCATCTATTTATGAGTTCTTTTATGTTATTGTATTAATATTATTTTATTATTTGTTTTAGTTGACCTTTGTACCACAACAAGAGAGTTTAGTGAGTTGTAGCCCGGAGGGCATATGTGTCTTTGATTTTTCTTCATTGTTGAGGCCTATATATAGTGGCCATAGTCTTTGTATTGGTTTTTAATGATTGGCTGATAAAGTTCCTGATTTTCTTTTTCTCGAGCTTATGAGTTCTTGAGTGGCGAAGTCCCAAGGCATGGGCAAAGCAATACCCACCAGACGCGGAGGTCCTTCGGGCTCGTGGTCCGACGTTTCCCTCATCTAGCCGCCGGTTAGCCTCATCCCCACCGCCGACCCAATTCTCTCACCTGTCCCTTGTCATCTCCCCTTAACCGACCCCCTCCACCACACCAATCCGCCGGACAGCCCACACCCATGTCCAGCCGCCGGTCCGCCGCCCTGCACTCTCTGTTTACCCCGCCTAATCCTGCCTTAGCTGTTGGCCTCCCTTGCCCCATGATTTGAATTTCAAAATTCAAATCACTTAATTACCTTCCTAAAATAAACTCCTTGCCATTTAGGAAAGTATCCATATTTGAATTCAATTAAATATTTGAATTCTAAATACTTTCCTAATGTCAAAACCCAATTAGGAAACTTCCCAATTAAATCAAATATGGAATTAAAATCCAGATTTGATTCCAATCCATAATTAACTCATTTAGGCCCAAATTCATTAAATCTTGACACCTAATCCCCTCCCTACATGGCCGGCCCACTCTACTTTCCTATTTCTCTCCCAAATTAATTCCTAATTCAAAGTAAACCCCCCTACATTAACATATTAATGACATATCACATAAGAACTCATAAGTCATCAGCACTGTAATCACTAAGGGGTTCTTCATTTGAATCATCATTATGGTGAACTGCTCTCTCCTTCCTCCTCTCCTATAGAGTCCAATGTCGGACATTTACTTCAAGATTTATGTAAGTTTTAATATATATAGCGTGAGGCGTAAGCCTCATTCCAGTGAGGCGAGGCGGGCTTCAAGGCGGGCCTCAACTAAGTTGAGGCGTAAGCCTCATAAAAAAACTCGCGGCGTAAGCATCGAGGCGTTTTTTACTGGAATTGCGTAAAGGCGGGCCTCAAGGAGAGCCTCATATTGCGCAATTTTAAACCATGCCTACAATCACCTTTCTTTGATCCCGACTGGGAATTTGAAGATTCCGTCGAAGGCTACGTAGATCGTATACTCTACCATCTCGCCGAGACGATCGATTTACAATGACCTTCTGGCCAGTGGCAGCTCATCGGACGTTCACCTGTGTTTCCTTCTCCGGTTATACTCCCGTGGATCAAGACCATCGGCATTATCATCGTCCTAGTGGTTTCTCTTAGTTTGCTAAAGGTCTCTCTTCGCTAAAGCTCCTCAAAGAGTGTAAGTGCGAGAGGGAAACTCGAGGTGAAAGTTCTTGATATTAGCCTTCAATTATTATTACCAGTACATCTAGTTTTATTGTATTTTATAATTTTATTTTTAAATTAATCTGTTCTCTTAAAAGTGTAACTGCATGCCTAAACAAAAATTTAAAGGATAATTCTTAAAGCTATTTCTTAGGATTCATTAATCTTAAAGTAAGTGAGCTTGTAATAATTTTATTATTTCCTAAAATTTATTGGTTGTTTCACTTTAATATGTTACCCTCGATTGCATGATGTTCGGCCCCACCTATCTTTCCAATTCCATTATGAACTTCCATACCTACATCTTCATTTTTTTTAAAGCTTTGCCAGTCACCCATTAAGGACTTCATAATAATATTTGTAGTGGGTGTAACAATCTTCTTTTTATATAGCCACCCGAGAACCCTTAGTCATGATATAACACTTGAAAGAAAGTCTTGTTTTCTTTTGAATGCTTCTTGATGAAGAAGAGAAGAATAGGAGGGCAAAAAAAATCCAAAAAGGAGGTGTAAGCAGACCTCTAAGAGGTAGTTGAATATGAGTCCAAAAGGGAGAAAGGGTAGGGGACATGACCATTCTACAAGTCACCATTTATGGTAGGGTTCTAAAGCAAAAACTCATGAGTCATAAAGATGTCTAAGGGTACAAAATTATATCAAAGTAATTAAAACACGAAAAGAAAATAAACATACTTCTCAACAGAGAATGGTTTATTTTGGTAGAAGGATTTGTTATAAATATAGAATATGGCTCATGCTACTTTAGAAAAAGTGAAGTACTAAAAAAAATTTAGTAATATATTTATAATGGAATGATGTAAGAGAAAAAATATCTTTAAATAAAAAAAATAAGATGCACATAACTAGAAATTATGAACGTTTAACCTCAACTTTTTTTTTTTTGAAGAATTGCAATCAAATGCATTAAGAACCAAAAGACAAAGCTAATTACAAGTAATAAAGGGATCACATTCCTCCTTGATTCGATTCCACAACAAGGACGGAATGTTTTCCAAATAAGACCTATCAAAGTAAAAACTATTTTCCAAAGTCAAAGTAGCACAACAATTAGCTACCTTATTACAATTTCTAGAGGCATGATGGAAAATTACCTTATTGAAGTCATTCAAAAAACAAAGATCCTTAGCCGGCCACCTATCCACATGCCAATTATTCTTCTTCAAAGACTCTTGAATGAACTTGATAATATTTACATTATCACTTTCAACAATGATTCCTTTGCATTCAAGCATCCATTCACAAAGGAACTCCCTCACCGAAATGACAGCCTCTAGCTCAAGTTGAGCTATATCCCAATGAGTTTTGTTCTTCCCAAAGCACTGATAAATCTGCCCTTGTAGTCCCTAAAAATGCCACGAATTCCAGCTTGATTGGATCTAAGTAGAGAAGCATCCACATTAATTTTAATCCAATCCTTTGGAGGAGGGCACCAAGGATGTTGGGACTCCCTAAGGAGATTAGTGCCCCAGCTTGTAAGAAAAGGATTAGAATTAGAAGTAGCTAAGTAAAGAGCATTGGAAGCTACCAAAGAACACGGCAAAGCAGGCTTTTGATGCTTGACATCATTCCTATTCCTCCATGACAAATATACTACCGTGCAATAAATCCTCACAATTCCAGAATTCTGTGCAGAAAGCTTTTCCAATACCTGTAAACAAGTATCCAAAGATTGAAAAATTGGTATATGAATGCCCCATTCCCGTATTTTCATAATCACCTCCACCATATATTTACAATGGACCATAATATGCTCATATGATTCAATGGATTGGCAGCCCCTAGCACAATTGACATAATCAAATAAATTGCGGTTCTTTAAGAACAAATTAGTTGGAATAGCTCTTTTGCCAAGCCTCCACCAGAAAATCTCAACTTTCTTATTCAATTTTAACTTCAGCACCCAATTGGAATAACCTTTCTCCTCTTCATCAAGTCTGTAGGAAGCAGCAGACTCAAGTGCCAATGCTGAAACTGTCTTCCCCGAGCACCAATTTATCAGTTCTATTCTATCATCCATCTCATGATCAATGCTGATTTGACTAATCAGTAAAACCAAATCCTGATGCAACGCCCTCTGTAACATCATATAGTTCCATTCCCCATTGCTTAATAAGAGCTCATTAACTTTTACATTCTCAAGGAAATCACAATCCACATAAGTAGGCCACCGGTTAATACATTTGTCAAGTAGCCAAGTATCATTTAAGACACTGATGCTATTGCCCTTGCCAATCCTCCATCTGACCACACTCTTCAAAGTCCTCCCTCCATCCAGCAAGATACGCCAAGCACTAGAGCTAGTACTTTTGTGAAATTCATGCATAATATCATCCCTATATTTACTCTTCATTGTTCTATGAAATAATGAATCAGGCTTTTCTATAAAATTCCATGCCAATTTGGATCTAAGAGATCCAAGTCTAAGTAATGGAGAGTGCAAACCCAAACCACCAAATCACCTAGGTTTACAAATCTCATCCCAAGCAACATAATGCATTCCCTTCGATCCATCTCTTTTGTGCCAAATAAAATTTCTACAAAGCTTTTCAAGCTCATTAAGCACCTTCTTGGGAACTAAAGAATGAGTAATCAAATAATTCGGCATAGAAAGTAACGAATTTTCAATAAGGATAAATTTACCTCCCAAAGAAAGAGACTTCTTGCTCCAAGCATTAAGCCTATCCATAAAATTGCTAATAAGCTCCTGAAAGTCTGCCATCTTGGGTCTTCTAAGAGACATATTCACACCTAGATACATCATTTCCTTAACCATCTTAATGCCAAGCACCTTGGTGATCTTCTTCCTTAAATTGTTTCTGACCATCTTGCCAAACATAACTTGAGATTTGCTGAAGTTAACTTTTGACCAGTCCATTTGCAAAAATCTTCCACTATAATCTTCATTGACTTAGCCAAGGTAGTAGAAGCATGGGAGAAGACTAACACATCATCTGCATAAAGAAGATGTATAATCTTTGGACCTCTAGGAGAGATCTGAATACCAAGAGAATGTCCTCTTTGATTCACCGAGTTAGACAGTAGTTGGGAGCACAAGATAAAAAGGTAAGGTGATAG